TGGTGAGGAGGGTTTAGTCACTTCAACTTTTTTTTTATTGATTTTTATTGAGCTCTACGTTTTTCCCTGCTCTTCAACTTTTATAGCAATCATGTTGAAACACTATACTGAATGCTTTTTTTGCTCCATGTTTAAGATCCTGGTCTAATTCAGAATTAGATCTGTAAGCTTCAAATATTGACTCTGCCAATCACTATGTGACCTTAACTTCTGTTTGCACCACGTTACAAGTGGAGCTCACTCATAGGATTTCTGCGTGTAAGTGATGAAATCGTAATTTCTAACTAGTATGTTGCTATGCATGAGCTGCTGTTTAATAAGTAAAAAACTAAACAAAACAACAAAAAGAAAAAACTGAACTCTATGTGAAGGCATAAGTCACAAAACAATCCCACAACAGCTTTTAATTATGATTAATAGAAGGGTTATTTATTTAAGGGGAAAACTTACAGATCACTGTCCTAGACAATTGCCTTTGGCATGACCAGGAACAGAGTCTAGCAGCCAGAATTGGAAGCCAGAAGCAAGAGAGCAAGACCAGAGCTACCACTGCCTTTTAAAGCAAAAGAGACCACACCAAAATGGGCTGGTATCTTAAAGGCTATTGGCTGAAGGAGCAGAAGGAGCCCCCACAGTACCTCCCCCTTTTGTTTAAGTAAGAGAGTTCCAAACCCAATACAAAACAATATACAGTAGAAACAGATATCAAGTATAAGATTAGAATAACAGTCAACATAAACAATATTAAGCAAGGAACAAATGCTAAATGTTTTAATAAACATTCTATCCTAAGGAGTCTAAATCTTGTATTGGAAATGGCTTGGCTAGATCATAAGAGGATTGTAACTATGACTATCTAATCTTCAACCCTATCGAAAGCCTGAGAAGTGAGATAATATCATTTGAGCAGGCAGGAAGTACAATCAAGTAGCTTCCAAAGAGAACATTATATGACAGAGACAATTAGCTACTTGAGCAATCATACAAAGTCTCATTTTGCAACATTGAAGCAACCAACTTTGGCTATGGCCTAGCATAATTGACAGACCATTTTCAGAGGCAGGGAATTTTTCAAAACTGTCTTATCCTGTCTTGGCGAGATTTGACAATTCTGTTTACCCATTTCCGGATATCATGTAACTTGTCAGTGGTTGAGGCATTGTCAGTTCCTTGCCCAAAGGCCAGTTTTGCCAAGAAGAAAACAAGCTCCAAGTGGAGTGTCATTGGTGCTCAACATTCTCTTGGGAAGAGATTGGTGCTGTCAGAAGCAGTCATGTCTCATGTCAGCAGAACCCTAAGTTATTTAAATGCCGTGTTCTACAGATCCTTGAAGTGGTTGAAGATTCCCTATCTAGACAAAATACAATCTCTATATATCTAAAGAACCTAATTGTTCTGACTGCATGTACAACAAACATGAACAACTATTGACCTATAATAATTAATACCTGTATAACTTACAGAGTAAAACTTCATGTCAGAATATTAAATAATCTGTAAATAAATGTACAACAAATGAGGACAGTGACCTTAAAAAAATATAAACAATCTATAAGTATCTTGATCAGAGGTAGGAGTAATATATGATGTAATATGAAAATATATCCTAAAAGTTATTTCTGTTGTGTACTGAATGTGTCTGACAGACGTTTTTATGAAGCATGAACTCCGAAGGTTCATCTCACCTTTAGGCAAGTTCAAAAGTCATTGCTCTTTGGGTCCTGCATGTCCAGTTTATGCAATAGTCCAGACAACAGCAGTTTTTTGCTCAAATGGCTAATCAACTCCATAAGGAGCCTCTTCGATGCCCATCTTTCTCTCGAAGTAATTGGTGCTGCCAGGAGCAGATGTGTCTCATTGTCATAAAAAGTCCTAAGTCATTAAAACACTTTAAATGCCATATTCTGAAGGTCTCTGAAAGATTTGAATACATATCTAACTCAAATGCAACTTTGTATATCTAGAAAATCTAACTAACATGACTATAAGCTTGACTATTATAGATGATTATCTATTAACTTACATTTCTTAATTATACATTACATTTTAAAATGAGCTATACAAACACAGTACCTTTATTAAGATCAGAAATACATATATATATATATATATATATATATATATATATATATAACAAAATTGACCTTAAATTTGTACCTTAAAACCAAGATCCATACCAATGCAAATTATTCATATATATATATCATATTCCCCTTTAAATGTAAACAAATATTCATAGAAAATATTTGGGAATATGGATGTAGTTTTTTTTCTCCAAACTGCTTTCTGCTGTTTATTGGGTGAAGTAATTTTTTAAGGACATTTTTGTGGTGTTCACAGTGACCTTTCAGGTGATCTTGGTCCATCAAACCATATTAGTCTGGAATGAATCCACAGGTTCTCATCCTTTGTGGAGACAAAAGAAGAACTTCTTTTCCAGAGCACCATATCCTTAGACTCAAATTCTGAAGTCAAGATACCTTTATACTATACATGCTGGTTTAACTTAGCAGCCCATAAAATAAAATTTCTCTCTGTACTTAGCTCCTTCACAGCCAAAAAAATTCAAAGAAAACGCAATAATACACATAATCTAGACTCTCTGTGTATTGTCCATCTTTACGTGACTTATTTTTCATTACTCCTTTTAATCTATGACTGTCTGTACTCTGTTCTTTAAAGATTTTATTTTGAAAAATGATTTTCTTCTTTTCCAACTCTCTATACTCCTTTTTCTTCTCTCTCCCAAGCCTATGTACATTTATCCAACACTGTGATCCATTTAGAGGTCTTTTTTAAAATCTGGATTTGTCTTTATCACATATCTGTAATCATTTACTGTTCAGGAGCACTTTTAAAAATGCTAAGCTCCTCTTAAAACTTAAGCTATGCCATTACTATGGTATATATGGTACTTCCTGCTTGCTCTGCACAGTACTACACGGTGGAAGTCTGTTCATGCCAGAGACTGTCGGGTGGGAGCCATCCTCACCACCTCAACTCTGATACCCAGTTTGCCCATGCTGCCACGAAGTAGCTTGCAGTACGCTATCCATAAACCTCATTTTAATGTTTGATAGCTGAACCTCCCAAAAGAACCAGAGCCATTTGTGCTGGTGAACCAGGAAGTGCCTTTTTTTTTTAAAGAAGGCATGCAGTTTTTACTGTGCCTTACAGCACTGTATGTGTGTAAGCCCATCTAGAAAAAAATTTTTTTTTGTGGATACCAAGAAACTGTGCTAAACTCTGTTCTTTTGTTTTCAAGCTTTCTCAGGTTTTGGATTTTAGTTGGCCATGTGGGTGCCAATTTGTTGAAGGAGAGCCACGTGTTGGTTTCCGACTCCTTATCCCCAAAATAATTATACAGAAACTATATTATTTAAAGCACTGCTTGACCCATTAGTTCTAGCTTCTTATTGGCTAACTCTTACATCTTAATTTAACCAATCTCCATTAATCTGTCACTACCATAAGGTCCTGGCCTACCAGCAAAGTTTCCGCATTTCTGTCTCTGACAGTGGCTCAGTGGCTTTTCCCTGACACTTGTACATACAGATATGATATTTATTTTAGTCAATGGAACACACATTTATGCATTTACACACATGCCTGTCTATATGTGTGCAACTTCCCCTGCTTTAAACAGACACACAGCTTTTCATGACCCTTCAAAGAAAACCTGGCTCTTTGTTCTTCCGACACTCACCATCTATCCCCATTCCCATTTCTGTCTTATTTCATGCTCTTGCCTCATTGCTCACCAAGCTTCTGTCTTGCTGTGCTCTTAATTATTAGATTTCTGTGGTCTTCTTTGTTATGGGACTTTGAATGTCCTACTGTTTGACATGTTCTATCTCAGTTTTTGGTGTGGTGGCATCTTGTTTCATTCTTTAATATCATTCTCATTGAAAAGTTTCCCTTTTAAAATATATTACCTTGTGCTTGCACACAGGAACGTTATTTCCTTCCTCCAAACCTCAGTGAAGTGCAAAGTGGTCCATTTTAGTTGTTTACATGTTTGTCCCATGTCTAGTAGGAGACTTGCCACCACAAAAGGGAAATTACTATTTTATTTCCTTTTTTTTGTATCATCAGCAAGTAACACTGTAACTGGTATATAAATAGATTTGTGTACTAGACACAGAAATGATACATATTATTAATAATATTCTTGTACTGAAACTAAATGTGTTGGGTTGAATGGTAGAAAAATCAGTGTCAAATCTAAGCCTGTATTTAATTAATTTATTCTTTTAGCCATTACAGTTCAAATTCAGGAACTTCCTGTTTAGAAAATACAACATACAAAATGGTATTCATTTTCACAGCTTACTTTCTTCTTTCAGGGATTTTTAGACTATGTAATTAACCAACAAGCTATATTCAAATTCTAACTTTAATGAGGCAGACCTTTATAATTACATGTAGATCTCTTCTTCTTTTATACATTGCTGTTATGACATTACTTAACTGTATAGTGAATTGGTATAAATCCAATTTAGAAATTAAGAATATAATTTTATTTCAACTTTTACTATTTATAGCACATTTCTTCTAATTGTTGGCTCGTGGGTCATATGATAGAGGATCTTCTCCACTCATTTTCTAGTAATATGACCCTTTATTAGCTATGATAAAGAATACCATTCTATATTTGGAGCTTCTTAATGGTGGACTGTGTACTGGCTTATTCTTTCTTTTCTTTATTAGACAACTTGAAAGTTCCATTGCAAGTTCATCAAGACAATTTGAGTCACCAGATGGGAATTTGAATTTAAAGTTAAAAAATAGAATGCTAATTTATTAACTAATCATGTGAGTAAACCATAATCATATTTCATCACCCATGAAAATGCACACATTGCCATCTTTAAAACAATTCCAAATCCCTGTTCAAGGAAAATGTGGTTTAAATAATTGCCAGAGAATGTTACTGAATATTCTGACAACGTTAATCTTTCTAATAGTCAACATCACAAAGTTCTAATCACATGTTATACCTTGAGTTTTAGTCGAGGGCCAGATCCTTGCTTGAGTGTCTTCTTGAACCTCTATTTTCTGTGGGCATTAAGACTCTTGGTGGACCCGCAAAAAGACTATGTTCAGCGTCCTGTTTCTCCTTCCTGGATGCATTTCCCTTCATCAAAACCCAGACCAGTGGTTTTCAGCCTCAATAGGCCCTGCGTGCTGTCATCCACTTCATAACATCTTCTTTGCTGCTGTGATATGAAATTTATAGATTATAAATTGACTAGTAGTTACAATAAAGTTAATGAAAGTCAAGTTTCATGTCTGCCCACTTACATGCCCTCATCAAGGCTGTTATTGAATCATTTTGCTTTTTTTTTTCTTTGAGACAGGATTTCTATGTATAGCTTTGGAGCCTGTTCTGGAACTTGCTCTGTAGACCAGGCTGGCCTTGAACTCACAGAGGTCCACATGCCTCTGCCTCCCAAGTGCTGGGATTAAAGGCATGGGCCACCATGGCCTGGCTTGAATGAATCCTATATTTTTATGAAATTTATAAAATTTGTGTTAGTTAGACATTTGTGTTAGTCAACTTTCTCTTCCTGTTTTAAAAAATGCCTGGGAAATCTTGATCGAAAAATATGAAACTTTTATTTTGCTCATAGTTTGTGAGGTTTTAGTCAGTCGACCCTTCTGCTTTTGGGCCTGTGATAAGGCAGAATGTCCCATCAGGCATGCAGGCCAGGGGAGCTCATGACTGCTATGAAGCAAAGAGAAAGGAAAAACTATGTCCTGGGACTCAGCATCCCCTCCAAGAGCATTCTTCCAGTGGCCTTTGACCTCCGTTGGCCCTGTTGATTAAAGGATTTCCCCTCAGTAACAAAGGCTGCAGAGCCATCCCTTCACACAGATCTTCCCAGTGTCTTGGCTGTCATCACCCAAAGGCACCGTCTTCTCCCACTCAGACTTCTGTCCATCATAGTGCCCTCCTGTTGCGACTGAGGGTTGCTCTGGGCTTCAGGCAAGGAGATTGTTAGCTGAGGAGCTACTAGCTCTGTGTTAGTGTAGTAGATGGTTTAAGTAACTTTCTAATGTTAGTAATGTACTCTAGTCTATCCTACTGTAGATGTGAGTCCCAGAAAAACTCTTCCCCAAGAACTGGCTCCCCCGGCTTCATAGCACAGAGGTGGGAGGGCTAACCTCCACACTGCAGAGGGTTGCATCTGCCAATGCCGGGAATGCAAATCAGTGAGCAGAGAAGGAAAGACTAGGGTAAAACATCTGTCCTGAGAAGCTAGTCTTCAAAAAAAATTCATAAGCCTCAGATATGTCTAATTCTATTAGCCGAAGATTTGAATTGTTTCAATGCCTAATGAAAATACAAAATTTTCCCCCATAAAGAACTTACTCAATAGCACAGAATAGAAGATTATAAATACACGATAATGCTTTTGGCTTTTGTGATGGGAATCAAGCATCCAGAAGCACCAGTATGCTTGCATTTGTGAGCACAATCCCGCAGTACTACAAACAATAATATCATATGTTGAAATTGCATTTGCCATGCACTCCAGCTGCAATAATGAAAAATAAACATTGATCAATGATGCCAGGGGAATGAATTATACTTTTAGCTTCCCTACCAAAGTAATATTAGAATATTACTCTCTGATAAAGAGAAAATCATAACAATATGAAATAAAAACTTGTAGAAAAAGAAAAATACTGCAGAAGTGTGCATATTAACAACACATTATTTTTCTTGATTTTATGATTTTGTGTTGTCAGGTTTAGCCCTTTGTAATGTGTTGAAATTTGTTTTCTTAATCTAAATAAGTACTCACTGAAATATTTAATATTGTATCCATTATTCTTTATTAAATTTTTAGGAAGAGAATCCTACGTAATAAAATTTCAAGGTGCTAAGGCTGGATCTATCTTTGGGTGCTGCCTACACAGTGCCTTGTCCAGCTTTGATATGAAGGCTTTTGCCTCGTCTTATTGTATCTTGTTTTGTTGTATTTAGCTCTCTTGTATTTAGGTCTCTTGGAGGCCTATTATTTTCTGAAAGGAAATGGAAGGGATGTGGATCTTGGGGAGAGGGGTAGTGGGGGAAGCTGAGAGGAGTGGATGGAGATCAAATGGAGAGAGTTGAGTTGTATTGTATGAGAGAAGAACGTGTGTGTGTGTGTGTGTGTGTGTGTGTGTGTCCGTGTGTGTGTGTGTATGGAAAACACACACACACACATAAAATCAGGACAAATCAGAAGTTTAAAATGAGAAAATTTCATAATAAAGATGTGGGACTGTGATTTGTGAGTAATAAACATAACCTGATGTGAGCTGTAGCTGACCATGGAAGCTGTCATCGATCCGATTCTACGAAACATCAAGATTGAAGGACACTCTTCAGGAAAGGGAAAGAACGCTCTTCCCTCAGTACTCATGCAGCTTATTTCCAGTAAAATCAGATAAAATGCTTTTGTACTTCTTTGTCAAAGTCAAAGTCAAGACAAATAAATGATAAAATGCGTAACTAAGCATTGAAATATCTGCCTACAAATGGGGAGAGTCTTAGCATGTGAGGCTGTTGTGATATCTTGAGTATCAGAGTGTATTCAGTGGCCTACTATTTCACAAATGTCCCCAAATATTTGCTATCAAGACTAACAACCCAAACACATGTGCACACACATGCACACACATGCACACACGCACATGCACATGTACACACACTCCTCTAGGCTTCCTGTAGATATCTGTTCATTTATTCATTACATTCTTCCTTTGTTTGTTTCAAAGTCATTGTTGTTGCTCTTTTGTGTCTCTGTGTATATTTGTGCTTATGTGTATATTTGTGCTGGTGTGTAGGTGCAGGTGTGTGTGTGTGTGTGTGTGTGTGTGTGTGTGTGTGTGTCTGAAAGCCAGAGATCAATATTGAGTGCCTTCCTCAATCACTTTTGTTTTTTGAGACAGAATCTCTTACTGAACCTGGGGCCCACTGATTCATCTGGCCATCTGGCCAGTGAGCCCCAGGGATCTTTGTGTTTCTACCTCTTAGCAGGGAGTTAGGGTGTTTGGGGGGCACAGTTTTCACATGGGTGTTGGAGGTCAAATACAAACTCTCATGCTTGCAAGCAAACACTTTACCAATGAACCGTTTCACAGCCTGTTTTGTTTGAGACAGAGTCTAATTCTGTATCCTAGGCTGGCCTGAAAGTCTGGCAGGTGATCCTCTTGCCTCAGGGTTCTTACTGCTGAGATTATGCATATGAGCCTCCATGTGTGGCTGTCTCCCTGCCTTTTTTTTTTTTTTTCAACATTCTCAGTAGCTTCCTTTATCCATTAAAAACACACTGGTCACAGTACAGTGTAACTACAGCTCTGAAAAATAAGGATTCACAACTCACCTAATAAAATGTAAATGCTCCGGGCTGGGCCAAGACCTCTTGTTCTTATCTACTGCCAGACTAAAGGGACTCCTGTAAGAGAAGACTGTTTCCATGTTTTGGTTCTATAAGTAAGCACAAAATATCCTCAGCTCACACTACATTTGGCCAGTGGCTGACCACAAAATGTGAATTTCTGTCTGGACCCACACCTGGCTATAACTTCTGGTGCCAGCCCTATCCTTGCAGGCCTGCCGAATGATGTAGAAACTGTTTCTCCAGAGGGAGGACAGGACTCCTAAGTGTTACTCTTAAGTCTAATGATACAGTTGCCATTAGCTCAGAGTGATAGTGCTATGGCTATAAAACATCAGGGGCTGGAAATACATTTGGAGACTATTCCCTATTCAAATTTTGTTTCGGGGTAACTTTCACCTAATTCTCTCTTCTCTCACAGCAAAATCTCCATCCAAAACACCCATCATATCAGTAATAGACACTTTGGTAGATGCAGTATTGGTCATGCTCTGTGCCAAGCACTTCACTGTATTAACTCATTTAACACTCACAAATGCCCTTAAGACATCACCACTACCTGTATTCCAAAAATGAGGCATCAGAAATAGGCAAATTGGTACCCTGAGACAGACACATAGTGAATAAGGGATCTGAGATGAGAATCATGTTTAAGTATTTGTTGACATCCTAGGCTTCTGATTTCTTTGAAATATATAATGATAATCATTTTTAAAAATATTAAGCAACCTAACATACTATTTTGTATTTTAATAACCATTTACCACCACTATATCTCGTGTGTATCTTCCTCAGCAGGCTTATAACACAGTTCTCCCTGATCAGAGTGTTCTGAGTACAGTCAATCCACATCTGCATCTCTAGGAAGACAGGAATGCAAGTCTGAATTGCTTTGGCTCTCTTGGCTAGAAATGATGTTCATAGGCAAAGCTTGTAGTCAGTGTGCTTTAGAGCCTCTCGTGGCTCAGCCTCTTCCCTCATCTATAAAATGTTGCAGATGCCTCATCTGCAAAGTTGAGTGGCTGTTTATATATCCCATAGATGGGCAACTTAAAAATCATATCCCCACCCTACATGCTGTAACACAGGGTATGATGTAGACTACATTATGCTCAGTTGCTGGTCCAGCCCTGACAAAATTTAGGGCACCTATGAATGCATTTATTTTCCTGTGTATTTTGTAGATTAGGGAGTACCCAAGAATTCTAACACCACTTAGGTTAGCTTTCCCCAGTGTATTGAGTATTCATCTGCATTCAGAAAATAACTGTGCTCTCTGATGTTTTAACCACTTGACTTTCACTACAATGTTAAGTTGGTCTTTCTGGTAAGACCTGCCCATAAATAGTCTATAGAATATCAGCTTTAATTATACCAAGTTTTAAAATTCAGTTACGGTTACCTTTAGCTCTGCATGATAGTATTATTTTGTTTTTAATACATCAGTTGTTAGGTATATATTGTATGGTTAGTTTCCATTCAAATGATGTTTGTTTCCCATGAAAAATTCCACTAGCTTCTTCCTTTCTGGTTAGACAGTATTAGTCTTTAAAACTGGAAGAAGGGGTTAGAAAGATGGCTCAGTGACAAAGAGCGCTGGCTGCTGTTGCAGAGGACTGAAGTTTGGTTCTCAGCACCCATGTCAGGCATATAACACCTTGGAAATCCTGCGTGAGGGGGTATTATGACTCTTCTGGCTTTTTCAGGCATCTCCAACACACACACTCAAATAAAAATAAATCTTTCAGAAAAAAGATCTTTATATAATGAACACAATCAAAATGCCATCAGAGACAACTAATTGTGTGGCTGTGGATTGAGAAATCATACCTTGGAATGATGAAAGTAATGTGTAAAACAAGAAATGGATGAATTAGATCAATGGTTTTCTGTCTGGATGAGTAGCTCTGGTGAGCCAAAGGAGTTTTTGAGTAGGTGTTATGAATCCATAGGCACTTAATCCCAGTGTGCTGGCTGAACAAAAGTGCATCACTCTGTCCATCTACCTGCTTACCTGTTTGTACTTTCCTGCCAAATTGCCTTGATTAAAATTCTTAGGTCTTTAGTTAGCAACTGAAAGTCCTTCAAACACTATTTAACCTCTTTATGATATAATTTCCTTATATATACATCTATATAGAGAGAGTTGGTAGGATGAATGAAATTGATAAAATTGATAAAATGTGTTGCATATTTAGCCTTGCCCATGATCATTAGAGAGCATGCACTATTCATGAGATACATATACCATGAGAAGACAGGTATACTGTTTTTTCAACAGTCATATTAAATATTATGTGGACCTTGGTTTTATTGAACATATAGAGTAAGTTAGCATGCAGGCCCTTTGGTTTCCTGATTTTGGAAGAAGCAGACAGTGGGTAGGCTAAGTTTTGATGCTGCTCTTTCAGACATGGTGCAAGAGAATGAAGATTTGGTTAAAAACTTCTCACTCTGAATCCAATTTCAAGAATACCTCTCAGAACAAAAATCCCATCGTTTATGCAAGGCCATTAGAATTTTATGTCTCCAAGGTACAAACTGAAATATAGACTGAGTCTTCTGAGAACTGGCAACAGGCCTAACTAAATCTGGGCAGGGTGATGCGATTGTGTATTATGTATATATGTGTTTAGATTCAAAATCTAGGACAACCTTTGTGTGGTGTGTGTGTGTGTGTGTGTGTGTGTGTGTGTGTGTGTGTGTGTGTGCTATTGAACCATTTATCATCACAAAAACTTTCAAGGCAGGGAGAAGTTTCTTCCATTTATTTTTGGTGCCCTGAGCCTATTGATTCCTTCTCAGAATAATATTCTCAAATGCATGCTCACAAGAATAATAATCACAGAGGAAACAAATTAGTTTAAAATACAATTTTTATAAGATCAAAAACCTTCCCGTGCCTCAAAGTACATGTTCTTAGTCTAGACAAATTGAGCTCAAGAACTGAGAAGCTACTTCATCTAGTCATGGATACAAAATGTGGATGCAATATTTTATATAAGGTCAAGAATGTGTAGAATGGAAACTGTATCAAGAAGGGTAATCAACGCTCTCATTAATTTGGAGCTTAAGTCTACCTTCTGAATTCTGAGCTTTTTCCTTTGCTTAATTTAGTAATGTTCTGTTGTGATATTTTGATCGTGTTTGACAAATAAAGCTTCCTTGGAGTCAGAGGACAGAGCTAGCTACTAGCTGACTGAAATTGACCACAGAGGTTTTGGAGGACAGATAGGACAGGAAGTGGTGAGGTGGGGTGGAGAGGAATGCAGCAGGTGGTAGAGAACTGAAGCTTCTCGGCTTCTCTGATCCTTCAGATTCTTACCCTGATATCTGGCTCCTGAATTTTTATTGATAAGAAAGAATTAGATTAACACTTCAATGTTCTTTAGTTATTAGAATAGGATTTTTTTTCTTTCTGGTGACCATCTGGTTTACTTTTTAAAAGGGTTGCTAGTCTAGCTTGTTTTTAAGTTTTAGTAAACTTCTTTGGTTGCCCCTGCTGATTTTCTGTTGTTTGTTGCTGTATCCAAAGCACCTTCTTCCTCTCACTGTTGGGCACTTAAGTGTAAGCTTTAGATGGTGAAGCAAGTAAAAGTGATCTCACTAGCATCTTCCCCACCTCTTCAGACTCAGCAAGCGCCTCTCAGGGAGCTCAGTCCTGCTCCCACATAAGTGTAAGTAGGAGCTGTTTGGACGGCTTCAGGGAAAGCCCTTGGAGAAACTGTTTGAGTCACAGTAAAGTGACAGCAGTTCAGTCAGCTTTACTGGAGGACCCTATCCTAGGAAAGAGGAACCC